GGTATTTCCCCAGAAGTTTTTCTGTACAAATTTGGTCTTTTTCTTATTAATTGTCCTTATTTCTTATAACAAGTATCTATAAGTGTCTATAAGTTTCACATTAAGTAAAGAATGAAAATGTTTCTAGTGTGTTGCTCTCTTCTATTATTAGAATTCCTGTATTATCCTTTCTCAATTTTTTTTTTTGCTTCTTGGTAGAATGATCAAATTTCTTTGTTCTGTAGTGGCGGCTCGTAGGTTTGAATGTAGGGGACGCGTTGAAAATAAAACACAAAAAAAAATCGATTTTTTTTATTTTTTGTACATAAAATCGATTCTCCTATCCTTTAAACTTTAAACTCCTAGGGGATGAAATTGTTAAGATTAATCAATATACTTTATAAGCTTCTTTGAAAATAGCACGATTCTAAATAGTTTTTCCAACAATTTATCGATGTCAATATTTATAAAGTTTTCATCACTGGAAATAAACTGTAACTCATTTAAATTACTAGGATACATTTGAACTAAATTATTTAGTGCTTCTGTAGGAAAGCTCTCCAAATATACAGAAAATTTGGAAGTGACCATTAATTTTACGAACTGAAGCTTATTAGTATCCTGAAAGCGAGTGTTGATTTGTTCTAAAATTGTGTCCAGGATTTCATAATACAGAATTTTATATTTTTGAACTACTTGATCTCTTGTCAAGACTTGTCTTATGCGCCCATCACGGTGCTCAGTGGGCAGTTACGTAACGATTAACAACAACATTCAGACTGTAGAAATACTTGAAAACGAAACCAAAACATTGATCAAAAATATACAAAAAGCTAGAGACGAAACGACAAAAATTAAGACACACTCACAACATTACGACACACTGCCACCCGAAATTACAGACTTAATCACAAACAAAAACAGATTACGTAAAAGGTGGCAGTTACACCGGCTAAATGACGATAGGGAAACGATGCGAATTCTTGCAAGCAATATTAACACACAAATCAGAGAATTTAGAAATAAAAAATGGCAAACTACCCTATCTGAATTGAAGCCGAATGACAACTCACTGTGGAGAGTAGTGAAGAGGTACAAAAAACCCTACTCACTGCTCCCCACATTGAAACGAGGACAAGACTTACTAGCAACGGACAACGAAAAAGGTCAAGCTCTCGGTGAATTATTTCAAGCACAATTTGTAAATAATCAGGTCAATAACCCCGCCCAAGAAAGAATTCACAACATAATAAACGAATTCAAAAATATAGGACCACTATTAGTGCCCCATTCTTTTCTAACCACTCCTGGAGAGGTATGCGAGGTAATTAAGCGTCTCAAAAATAGAAAAGCTCCGGGACCGGACGATATTAGTAACATATTGCTAAAAAACCTTAGCAGAAAAGCTATCGTGCAGCTCTACCACATAATAAATGCCATTTTCAGACTGCAACATTATCCCAGTGGTCTGAAAGTGGCAAATATAATCCCTTTTCTCAAACAGGGAAAACCGGGAAACAGTATTGATAGCTATCGCCCCATATCACTACTTAACACACTTTCAAAAATAACGGACACAATAATTTTACGACGCTTAAAAACAATAGAACAACGTATACAGATTATCCCGAGGGAACAGTACGGCTTGAGAGAGGGGCACATCACAGTGGCCCAGGTTCTGAGGATTGCACAACATGCCAAAGAGGCATTCAATCGGGACCTGCAAACTGTGCTGGTGGCGCTTGATTCAGAAAAAGCCTTTGACACCGTATGGACCCAAGGGTTAATCTACAAAATGCTTTTGAATGACTTTCCTGGGCACATTGCTAAAATAATTTTATCCTACTTAACGGACAGAAATTTCTACGTAAAAAATAAACACGACAATTACAGGACCTTTCATAGCAATGGCGGGAGTACCACAGGGCTCAGTACTATCGCCGCATTTGTACACTATTATGACCTGTGACCTACCAATGGGACATAATGGTGTAGGTACAAACGGCGTTATACGCTGACGACATCTGTGTATACACAAGCCATAAATCAGCCGAAACAGCGAACAGGAAGCTGTATGACCATATCAACGGAACTTTAGTGACTTATTTATCCGAAAATAAAATGAAAATGAATCCAAATAAAACTGAATCGATGGTTATAACAAAGAGGCGGACTCAAGCAATTGACACGCCCCTCGTGATTCAAAATCGACCAATAGAAGTCAAACAAGAGTTAAAATATCTCGGTTTTCGACTGGATAAGACACTACTGTTTAATGCCCACATAAAAGACAGAGTTGCCAAAAATTCCGGTATTCTGAGGTCATTGTACCCCCTAATGAATAGACGGAGTCGGCTAACATTGTCGAACAAACTGCTACTATTTAAAACTATATTTAGGCCTATACTGACATATGGTTGTCCAGTATTCTGTTCAATGGCAAATTCACATTTCGCAATATTACAAAGGGCACAAAACAGATGCCTAAGGCTAGCTCTTGGCTACGACTGTTATGCTAGAATTCGCGACATACATACAACGACAAATATCCCATACATAAAAGACTTCGTCATCCAGACGGCCGAAAAGTTCTACGCGCGATGTCTCCCTGATGAATTGAGGGATAGCATCATGAATATTCACCAGGGGGACGGCGTGCGTAGAAAACACGGCTGCCTACACAAAAACCTAAACATCTACCGACGACAGTAACATGATCCATGACAAATCCTACAATACTAAACAATAATTCACACGGACTGGATATTTACGAATTCTAATCCGACGGAGGACTGAACTATCGACTGACCGGCATTGCCGCGGCCGAGAGAGCGACTTTCGTTACTCGACGGCGGCAGTTCCGGGTGGTTTATAGCTCACCCTCTCTGTGAATTAAGACAAAAAACCGTAGACTTGGACAAGAACACACAACACAAATGACAACCCTGTTTTTTCCTAGCTTTTTCAGGGGACAATACAAAACTAACACACGACAAACTTACAATTCTCGATCCAAAACCACCATAATCCCTCAATAATACCCATAGGGTAAGGAGTGAGGGCGGCTATAATTAGCATAACCAAAACAGATAAATATGGAACATATTACAGGCGGAGAAACCGCCTTAGGCCTCAATGGATACCATTCGGGCCACAGCTGTACTGTGTACAGTCTGTGTTTTTTGTGACGTTTTATGTTTACATATTGTACATATATTTTTTAAAAAAATGAATAAAGATTTTAAATGAAATGAATTATATTTGCAAAAATAACTTCACTTCTTTTAGAGTTTAGTTGATTCTGCGCATTTTGACATACACAGTAATTTATATTTAAAGAACGTTTCCGCAATACATCAAAAAGTACATCGCTGATGGAAAAAATTTCATTAAAAATGATAACTAGAAGAACAAATTCAAAGTCATTAAACATATTTATGTCTTATTGAAGCCTAATCAGAATTTGGGTCGTTTAAAATTTTATTAAAAACTTGTTTTAGAGATATCCAATTATTATTAATAAGACTCAAAATCTAGTGTGCCTTGAAAAGTAACATTTTAACAGTGTTAAATGACAGTCATTTTATAGTTTTTAAAATACCAATAACTTTAAAAGAAAAAATCGAAATAATCTGATTGTTAGGAGATCATACTTCTATAATTTTTTTATTACCGCACACATACACCCACATAAGTCTAATTAATTTTTAATATTTTCTTTTTTCTTACCTTTTTTTATTTCTCACTATTTATATATAAGATATAATAATAAAATCATTAACAGTGAACACAGATAACATCCATTACTCTGTCGTCGGGAGGCCGCCTGTTCCTTTGTTAATTTATTTTCTTTATTATTACCATACTAATCAGCTGCTGTCAATTATAATTCGATATTATCGTCTTTGCTGTATATTCCTGCTATTGATATATATTATATCCTCTTTTCATATAACTTTTACGTCATGTTTCATGTTTTCATTTTGCAGATTTTTTTTTTTTTTTTTCGTTATTATCTTTGCCTTTTAAAAGGACTTATATATTAATAATACTAATGTTCGATCCATTTCCTTTGTCTTAGCACGCACTTCGATCTGATATACGATTTTAATTTCATCGCCTTGTCTTTGAGTTTTCCCCTAATAGAAAACCTACTCCTAGTAAACGATTTCTTTCACTGCTTCTTAATAATATCATGTTCTACAATTTTTACAATATCAGTTAGTAATTGTTTCATTTCTTGTAGGACAACAATATCTATTTTATAGGACTTTACTTCTTTTACTATTTGTTTAAATCCTCCTGCTGCAAGTAATGTTGGCTTTGGCATAATTTTAATGAGTAAAGTAATTTTAAAACACCGATTCCAAAAATGAAGAGTTCGGATCTTGACCAAATTTATTTAGAACCACCCCTAAGGTATCCTCTTTCTAAGAATCATAGAAATCGCACAAAGTGGTAAAAAATTATCGCTGACTAATTGAGAACCTCCTCCTTTTTTGTTGTCAATCAAATTTAATACAAGATGGAATAGTTATAGTAGTTTCAGCCTGCTTTGAAAAACCTCTGTCTTGTTTTTTAAATGTAATCAAACATATTTTTTCAGATATTAGCTGCTTTCCTGACTCATGACTGTTAATTCGCACTATAAAACACTTGCTTTAAATCGGTAATGCAAAACATTCATATTTTTTAACATTCTAACTAGTGTTTATCCGATCGTCATAGTCAGACAAGTGTTTTATGTTTTACGATTGTCACGTAGACAAAAAAGTAATTAACAAAATTTTATACTTAATTTAAAATGCTCAATAAGATAAGATATGCACGTTTAAAAATGTGCGTTAAAGTGATATATCAATTATTAAAAGTGTAAACCCGGTGCGAATTTGTAGCGATAGGAATCTAAAAGGTGCACAACCCGCTTTAAAATATAAAGAAAAAGTTCCTCTTTGCCCTGGAACTGTGCCAAAACCTATTAAAATCTCTGCTCGTTCTAAACACATACTGCTAGTGTTGTATCCTGTCTCATTCATAGAATACGGTTGCGTAAGGAACCTTGGGATATACACTACTGATATAGAAAATTAAAAGAAATTTCTTTAGTGTACTAGTGCATTAATCATATTTTTATTCAAAAAATATTGTGACAGTAAATTATAAGTGAAAAATATACCGTGTGTCCAAAATAAAAGAATTTGTGTAATTTGGAACAGGTAAAAATGATTTTGGTTAATATTGGTAAACATGGTGCGAACAATTTTTTTATATCACCCTGGATATTGTTAGATGGCTGTTGTCGACAATTTCAAAAGTTGCATATCAAAGAATACGTGCGAAATAACATGGACAATTCGAAAATGAAACAAGTTTTTAAACTTTTCTTTTTTGAATGAATGGATGGCATCAAACTGTCTATTTACCACAATACTATATACTTTCAAAAATCAATTTTTTTAAGCCGTATACGAGGTTTGTCTTTAAATATGATTTATGAAGAGTAAAGTACCTTTATTTTTGACAAACCTCGTACACGACTAATAAAATTTGATATCCGATGGTTGTATTCTAGGTTTTAGACCATGCTCGACTTTTATGAAGAATAATTTTTTTCCTGATATTAATAATAAAAAACTTTTTTATATGCCACCCACTGTCTACGTAAGTATTTTAGAATTTTCAAGTCCCCCTGTTTAATCCTTTTACCTATTATAAATAAATTACATGCAAATTTAATAGAAAAAATTAATAAAATTCAGTTTTCTTCATCTTGCATTAAATTACTTCATTAAACTCTCTAATCTTTTTTTGGACACATGGTATTTACATTTATACCTTCTACATCTAGAATTACTCAAAAATATAAAAGTTTGACTAAAATAAAGACCATAATAAAAGTGATACCTAGTTAAGCGAAGGAAAAACTATGCCAGGACTATATGAATTGTGTTAGTGCGTAAAAAATGCCCGGTTTTTCGAGTGATAATGCTAAAGATGCATCGGAGAGTACGAAGACCACGAGGCCGCAAAGCAGTCAATGTCAAAGATTGGGAGAAGCAAGGCGAGCTGTTAGCTGAGTGGAACAATGGTAAAATAATTAAATTAATTACTAACCTAAAATTGATTTTTCATATCTATATGTTGCATTCAAAACTCAGTCAATATACAGGGTGTACCAATAAAAACTCCCAGGCCGGATATTTTGGTAAGTAATAGAGATATTTTAATTCTGTAAAAGCCAGTTCATAGAGCGGTAAGAGAGCTTCAGTTTTAGATATAAATTAATTTTAAATAGGTCAGTATGTAGATGTCGCTTCGCTCAATATATTTTTTTCGATGGGAGGATCTTTATTATTTAACGCATCTTGTAAAAAATGCATTTTTAAGCAGATTTTGTTCTATAAACTAATTCGATAAATCTAGCTATTTTTGATATACAGAGTGGGTCACTCAAAACAGTTTCATCCTGTTTTTCAGCATTAATTATTGAATTTTAAGAAAATGCTAAAACAGATCAATTTTTATTCCAAATTAAAAACATTTTTACAATACAGACATCTGTCATGTGTCAACCCCCTTCCTTGCACTTCTCCAACACCTTAATTTTAAAAAGGTAATGTACCATGTATGGCACATCATTGAAAAGGTAATTTAATGAAAAATTCAGAAATATTTCTGTATATTGCGTTACTTAAATTTTATCGCCCTCTAGCGGGATAAAAAACTACTACGTATTATAGAGTGTGACATTACAATGTGTAGTATATTAAAATGGTAATTTTATAGGGAATTTAGAAATATGACTGTTCATTGCGATACTTTTAATTGTACCGCCCTCTATTGGGATAAAAAAATTGTACGTATTATAAAGTGTGACACCTTATTTGAAAGCAAATTTAATTACTACTTTAATGCACCACACAACATTAATATAAATATTCTCTATATTGCACTTGCATTAGTTTGAAATTTATTCATGCATTATTATAAACATTATTGCTAACTTTATTTTGTGCAATATGAAAATATTTATATTAATGTTATGTGGTGCATTGAATTAGTAATTCAATTAGCTTTCAAGTGAAGTATAATACAATACAGGTGTTTTATCCCGATAGAGGGAGCTAAAATTAAAAATATCGCAATAAACTGTCATATTTCTGAATTCCTCATAAAATTACCTTTTCAATGATGTGCCGTACAGAATACATTCCTTATTTAAAATTAAGGGGTTGGAGAAGTAGAAGGGAGGGGGTTGACACATGACAGATGTCTGTATTGTAAAAATGTGTTTAATTGGGAATAAAAATCGACTTGTTTTAGCATTTTTTATAAATCCAATGATCAATGCCGAAAAACAGGATGAAACTATTTTGAGTGACCCACTCTGTATATCAAAAATGACTAGATTTATCGAATTAGTTTATAGAACAAAATCGGCTTAAAATGCATTTTTTACAATATGCGTTATATAAGAAAGGTCCTTCCATCGAAAAAAATATATTGAGCGCAGCGCCATCTACCTATTGACCTATTTAAAATTAATTTATATCTAAAACTGAAGCTCTTTTAGCGCTCTATGAACTGGCTTTTACAGAATTAAAATATCTCTATTACTTACCAAAATATCCGGCCTGTGAGTTTTTATTACACTGATTTCGACCAATGGTCGAGAAATATGTCCAAAACGCGTTCTAGCCACCAGCATATTGCCAATGTCCGCAGTATCGCTTTTCGGCTGTTTAATGTAGACCAGAACGCGTTCTGGACATTTTGCAATTGCCAGAATGCATTCTGACTTCCCCTAGGCATCCGGAATGCATTCTGATATTCTTCACATTGCCAGAACATGTCAAGTGCACAAATAAAGTCCAAAGCCAATGTGACAAAAAATATTTTTATTCTTTGTGAAAGTATGACATTTAAATTTTAAAATTAACATCACTTCTAATCTATCATTTTAATTTACAAATTATTGATGGTATTGGTTCAGATATCACTGGAGGCCGAAGAAATGATTGTTAAGTTGAAATTTTATGTCCCCTATGTCCCGTGACATGTACCAATAAATTCAGAAAATTTTAATTTTGTTGCCAGCATGTCAACTTTTATTTTCATATTCCTATCCCTTTGTGTATTGTAGGAAGAGTTTAATAGAAAAATAATTAGGTGCCTTTTCGTTTTTTTTGCAACAAAATAAAAAGGGTAGCGTCGATTAAAATTTATTTTAAAATTTTTGTTGTTATTGTGTATTTTAAATAAATAATACCTTTTTTTACTTTGACAGGCAATAAAATTGGTTAGAAACCTAAACCTCTTCATTGCATTTAGACGGTATCCCGCGCATTTAATATAATTGCAACATCATTGTATTCCCTAATAAACTAAATGTCATATATATGTCAGTTTGAAACTAAAATACATTCATACAATTCTGTATTTCTATTTCTGAATCGTTTGTAAGTATTTAACATGAATCCTGGATTTGTAAAAGCAGATTGAGCTTTTTAAAAACGTCCACAAACGTCAAATAAGACTTGACAGAAGAAAAATACAAACCACTGAAATAATTTACGTATTACGAGAAGAAAACACAAAATATTTGAAAATATTTGGCACCGTTGTCACAATGTTGTAACAAGTTGTTTACAACTCAGAGAACACCCTGTATAGGTATAGCTTTAGAAATATGCTACTTTTAACATCTGGAACTACAAGATAACCTTCTGTGATATTGTATATTTATGTAAGACTGAATATTAAACAAACTATTAAAAATAAAGATTAGTTTAAATTATGAAGTTTTTAAAATACCGATGACCTGTCATATAAAATAGTTTCCCTCATTTTCCATATTTTGTATGCACCTATTAGCTTCCCTCAACATATTTCGTCTAATGTGCGATAAATTGACAAGATACAAATTGTGAACGTTAAAGTGTCCTTTCTCTATCTGCATCATTATTTTTAAACAATAAGAATTCCAGTTTGACTCAGACCTCGTAGGTGATTGTTGATAATATTTACATTTCCTTCTCTCTGCTGCGTTATTAATCATTTTTACCGGCATGCCGGCTTACTGCACATTCAAACTAGTTATTTCTAAGTGTGTTAAAAAGTTACGAGTACCTAAGTAGTAGAATGTCCCGTTCCTTAGTAAAAGGTTAAAATGAATTTTTTTGAATGCAACTTATAGCGAATGAAGTCGAAGGCATTGAATTGGGTTTTTGTGTTGAAGAATATCTTCAAGGTGTCTTATGTGTCTTTGACAGTAAAAAGTGTACTCTCAGGGTTCAATCTAATGCTCTGTTTATTTTAATAAGAAGTACTAAACATTTTTGTTTTGTTTTAAAAATGAACATATTTTTTGGAGGGATATTAAACTTTAATTGGTAAGTCTGTATAATTAATTACCTGTTTGGTTTTTTTTCTATTTATTTGTAACATGTGAATCTTTATAGTAGGATAAATAGTAGTGTGGATTTTTAAACTCACGATTTTTTTTTAAGTATAAACAAAAATGTACAGGGTGAGTCGAAGTGGATCCAATACATTTATTGGATAAATAAATATTAGATATTTTTGTCAGATTAATTACTAAGGCCGTCTATCTATTTTCTTACCCCCACCAACATTTCTTCACGTTTCAGATTATTTTAAATCTAAAATCGCCAAAAAAAATTGTCTGTGTCTGTGCCTATGTGCGCCGACACGATAATTCTGAAACTAAAGACCAGATCGACTTGGTTTTGATTTTTTTTTTCATAATTTCTTGTAACCCTATGGGTTTTTATAATTTTCGGTTTAACTATCAATGTATTTAAAAAGCAATGCATTTCTTATGGAGCTTAATGCACTGCACTCCAATAAGGGAAGGTTACTGTTTTCACTATATGGATGGCTATGCTTGTCATCGGTGAAAACAGATATTTTTTTATATTTTATTGTCACTCTTAAATACAAATAAATTATTTAATATTTTTTGAACGCCTTTTAAAAAATTTTATTTGAGTAATTATTTATTGTAAGTGAAAGTAAAGTAAAAATAATAGTTTTAAGATGAAATAAATAAGGTTCTTACGCGAATATTTTTTAGAATTCAAACCGACATACGATGTGTTGGATAAGTTTTGTGATTATTTTGTTTATAGCTAATTAAGGATTCTACTTTTCCTCTCTTCATTTGGACAGAACAATAATTTTTTATTACTCACCTAAAATATCATATAAGAAAAATTTAGGAATAACGTTATTTAAACCAAAAATAGCATTTCTTTTTTATTGTAAGTGGTATGAAAAGGTAATTAATAATTAAATTAATTAAAAAAAAAATTTTTTGTTGTATTATATTTTTAGATAATATATTTTTTGCTTGCGAGAGTCCATCTTTTTGAATAAATTTTAAATTGTAATTATGAGCCACTTTGACAATGTCCCCTAATACACACTCCAGTTATCCCATATGATTATGAATTTTAATTTATTTTCAGTATGAAGTAGGCTCTTATATTCTTAAAAACACATTTAATAATAAATATAATAAGAATATTGATCCATTTTAACAAAGAATGCATCCTAAACTGCCATAAACTTAAATATGTCATGCTTTCTGTATTCTATAAACTAATTACTATTATTAATTGAAAAGGCTACTTATAACATCAAATACTAAACTTTTCCCAAATATTTTTTTTTATAAAATTTAATGTTTAATAACAGTTTTATCAGTTTTGAGATTTGCAGAATTTCGAATAAAAAAATCTTGTAAATTTTGCATTTTAGAATGAAAAGAAAATATGTGGACATTTCCTATGTTGCCGTCATAAGCCAAACCTCCGTAACTGACAAATTACAAATGTTCGAGATTATTTGACCATTCTGATTTTTTCTTATAGTAAACAAAATTCCGGTAATATTTGGTATCCTAAAAAGTCAACTTGATTCTACACCGTAACCCCAATATACAAATCGGGTAGCAAGTCAGACGTCAAAAATTACCGACCTCTATTCTTAGTATTATACCTAAGGTTTTTGAGAACTTTATAACAGACTACCTTACATATGACTGCTATGACACCATAACGGATC